GCAAATAAACAACATATGGATACTATTTTGGGATCAAATGGAAGCAAAGTAGTTTATTTAAAATTAGTTATTAAGGGGTATTAATATAAAAACTTCTCCAAATATACATACTCCATCGTTTTATACGGTGCCTAAACTTGCCGCCACTTGGTTGAGGAAGAAGACGGGACCGTGTCGATCCTTATACAAAACACCAAACACGGCCTAATGAAACGTAATCATTCACTTTCATTTTACAAACATGACGTAAGAAAATCCCACGTGTGAAATTGAGGCTTATACATAAGAAAATAGTTTCGTGTTTGGCTTATGTTCATTACTCAACAAATAAACCAAAAATTAGTATATACAAAAGACGGAAAAGATCGCAAAAGCATACCTCAAACAGACATTAAAAATAAATAAAAGACAACTTCGAGTAAACACCTTGAACGTCGCCTCGACCCACACAGGTCAATTCCTATTCTCTGTCTCTTTTCATTCCTGTCATTAGTTCAATTCAATTAATTGAGTTTTAGTCTTCTCGTTAATCATCAATAGGGTTTCTTTTAATTCTTGTCAAATGTTAAAATTGTCTTTAGTTTTAGTTAACTTTTATTCTTTGCTTAATCCTTCTGTGCTTTCGCTCTCTATGATCCTCAATCGCTTAATCTGAATTTGGGTTTAGCTTCCTTTTTCTCTTTTAAATTTTACTTCGTTTGATAGTAATCTCAAATGGGTTAATCTTAATTTTTGTCGATGAGGTTAATTGTACTTTGAAATTACTAAATTGGGTAAAAACTTCATCTTGAATGCATATTGGTTTCATATTTTAATTTGGAGCTAGGAAAGAATTGCTGACATTGTCTTGGTCTAGTTAATTCATAGATTCTGTTAATTGGTAATTAAGTATGAACTTGCAAGCTTAATTAGCTTCCTGTGATCTGTCCTGAAAAATTGACTTTTTTACAATGGAAACTAGGAAAATGTATTATTGGGTATCTGGTAGTAAATGATGCTATTTGTTTCTGTTCTTTGCTGGAATTCACGAAGGTCTTGGCATTTTGTGTGTTAGGAGTTTCAAGTGAAAATGGTGACCAACAACCATTATACTCGAGTTGATGCATTAGAGCTCAGAAATCTAATATGTAGGAAGATTGGACAGCAGAGAGCTGAAAAGTACTTCAACGAGCTTAGAAGATTTTTTAGTTCAAAACTGAGCAAGGTTGACTTCGACAAGTCCTGCATTCGAACTATTGGAAGAGAGAATATCCACTTACATAATCGTCTCCTTCTATCCATATTGAAAAATGCCTCTTCGGCTAAGGTTCCTCCACCGAAACCTAAAAAGGCTGAAGAATCTCTGAGCATCAAAGTCGGGAATGGTTATCAGAGGAGTTGTCTGCAGTCGCTCTATGGTGATGCATTTCCCTCATCACCTCGCAAAACCAGGTCTCCAGTTAGTAGAGACAGAAGGTTCCATGATCGTCGTAGTCCTCTTGGACCACTTGGGAAGAGTCCTACTATTACTTGTGAAGAAGCAACGCCTAGGATACAAGAACAGGAAAGTGCCACAGAATTGCATTCTCTTGGTAGCAGACCTCCAGTTGAAGTTGCATCTGTAGAAGATGGGGAAGAAGTTGAACAATGTGCTGGAAGTCCAAGCATACAAAGCAGAAGCCCTGTCACTGCCCCTTTTGGAATTTCTGTGAATGCAGGTGGTGCTCGAAAAGCTCTCCATAGTGGATCTATATATAACTTTAGTCTGGAGACTTGTCAAAACCATGGAGAATTGCCTGGTAGTAGATCACTAAGAAGCCGTTTGGAGCGGAAGTTAGAAGCGGAGGGGCTTGGCATATCGTTGGACTGTGCTAACCTGCTAAATAATAGTTTAGATGCATTCTTGAAAAGACTGATTGAACCTTGCATAGGACTGGCTGGTTCACAACATAGAAATGAACGCGTCAGACATCGTAATACTCAAATATTGCCTGGATGGTATGGTCAATATCCTGGGAATCATACAGAAAGACAAACAAAATCCTCATGTGCAAGGATGTTGGATTTTCGAGTAGCAATGGAGAGAAATCCTCGTATACTTGGGGGAGATTGGTCCACACTACTTGAGAAGGTCTTTGCTTGCGCTTCTGAATAAACAGCTCATCGCCATCAACTTGTTACGTGATGGATAAGTGGAGATTTCAGGCGTTTTGTTTCTAATTTGATGATGAGGTACTTCTCATCATTTCCCATGAAATGAAGAATCCGTGAGAATTGTTAAAGGAATAAGCATGTGAATATTGTAGGAAGTTGTCGGATATCGTGGGGTGAGATTTGTATTCTAGGAGGATTGGTCCCTTGAGGGACATGTTTACAAATTACTCATAGATATTGTTTAACAAGCTCTTGGTTTTAAGTCATTTTTCATTTTACAGATAGGGTCTTCTATGAAAAGTTTTCATGAAATAAAGCATATAGTTCCAACAGCTTTGTACTATTGTAAGTCTGAGAAGTTAGCTAGTGACCCAAATTCTAACCATTAACGAGTGCTTTCAGCTCCAAAGCTTTTTCCCGTTTTCTGTCTCTTGATGAATTGACTTTTGCGACATAAAGGCAAGGATTGTTTTTCCTATGTCAAGTCAAGAGGAAATTGTATTTCTTGTTCCTGGGTTGGAGTGTTAAGTGCATTCCTCCTGTACAGACGAAAAAATATAGAGAGACATGCACTCTTGCCCTTAAAGTTCTTGAGGTTGATCTGACGTTTGTCCAATGTGATGCCTGATCAGTGGCTTCAAGTGACATATGCTTCCATTATTGGCTGCTTTCTAACATCATGTTTCAAAGATTGATTTTCTTTTGGCAGTCTTCGGTCGCTAGCATATCAAATTGTTACTCTTTCTTGGTTGTTTGCTTGTTAGTGCATTTCTGTATGTTGGCGGGGCTTTTTTCTTTTTCATCCTTCCTTTCTAGTCCATCTAAATGACAAAGCCCTGTATATGTTTGAGGTTGAGGCATGCACTTCTTGCCCTTAAATTCTTGAGTTTGAACTGAGTTTGGTGAATGAGATGCCTATTGGTGGCTTCAAGCCTTCAAGTGATATGATTCCAGTATTGGCTTCAAAAGGTAACATCGCAGTTCCATGATTGGCTGCTTCTGGTAGCCTTCTGTAAGTCTATCTTCATTCTTCAAGCTATGGTATATTTTCTTATCTTAATTATTTATTTTCAATCTCACCTTGTTGTCAGCACTTTGAAAGTTTCCTGTTGGCTACCATCGGATTGTAGATGAAGTGGCTTTAAACGTTTACTGTTAACACTTCTCTACATCAACTTGCTCTAAACGTTTACTGTGGTATGTATGCACATATTCTGACAGCCTTGTTGCAGGTTCAGAATTCTGCACATCCACGCACAAGGGAAACTCTGTGTTGTCTTGCAATGAAGGCAATCTAAGAAATTCTCTGTGTACACGAGTGAATTTGAACTCAAAAGGAATAGAAATGCGCTCCATAAGGTAAGCACATTAAATATCAGACTCATCTCTTCCGTCTTGATAATTCCTCCACAACATGAAGATGAGCTTTCTTCTATCTATGTTTATGCATCCATCTAATAGCTGATTATCATTGCGTGTTTCATATAGTAGATGTAAAAACCACATAGGAGGATAGCTGTACGAGGAGCAGTGAGAGTGGAGGCTCAGCTGTAAATGCAGTGACATGGTCAGCAAGGATTCATATTGCCAAACCCAACTTGCTTGGGACTAACAAAGTTGTTGTTGTTGTTGCTGTTGTTGTTGTATGGTTCCCCTCAAGGTTGTCTGTTTCATGGTCAGTTGCCTGGCTTAGTTGATCTGCAGAGAAGAGGTTTTACATTGAGCAGCAGATGTTAACCTTTGCTCCTGCAACTCATGGGGGATATCAACGCTCACTTTTTGCACTGCCCAAAAGATACTCAGGTATTGCAATGAATCCTGTCTCTTTGATGTTAAATCAAATACCAGGAGAACTAAGGAAATCTCTCATTAGCTGGTTGGGGAGGAAAATGGATAAAAGCTCAACATATTCTGATGCAACATGCCTGCTCGCATCCTATGGGTAATATGGAAGGAAAGAAACACTCCTCGTTTTGAGATCCAGTAGTAGCTATACACACACTTTTATATAAATGCTTGTACTTCAATTGCCTTTTTGAGTTCCTTCACACTCTATGGGACTATTGGATTTCTCTCTCATTTTTTGATAAACTTAAACATTTTACATATTGGTGCAATTGTACTCCCTTAGTACATTGACCAACTCCTCCATCTTGATACATAAAAAAATGTTATTATACACGGATAGTATAACAATTATTTGCATATAAGTGTAGTTTAACCGGTGATGGCATGTTAGTTACTTATTTTGTCATGTTACAAATTGATGTTTATCAGAGATTTACTTGTAATTTCCTTATAAGTGATTGATCACAGAACTCTTTTTACAGTCAGTGCATAGATCTTAAGATTCCTCAATATAATGTTGAACCATTCGTCCTAACTATTTGATTGTGTAAATCTCTGTTCTGGTAACTGCGAGGGATGATCTCTCTCAACCTCAGAGATCTGATAAAGAAACTTCAAAGACAAAACTGGTTGCTCCCTTAATTCTTGCGAATTTGTGTTGTCACGTTCGTGGAAAATTTCATCGCAATTCTTTCTCAAATCCTGCAACTTTTAACTGCAATTTTTCAGCACATTCTTCTTGAATTATTGCAGCATCTACTCTTCTAATTGCCATCAAAGACTTTGATTTCTTTAATAACAAGAATCTTTCCTTGAATTAAAGTCACCACAACTAAGTTCTCTTTGATTGAAAACTTAGACCAGCTGATACTAAATAACTTGTTTTTTAGTTTACCAAAATCTGTTAAGTGAAAACCAAATCAATTAAGTGAAACTTCCGGGACTAGTAAAATTTAGAAAAGGTTCATTAATACTTCCGAAGAGTTGGGAAAGAATTCAGTCGATTAGCACAAATAATATTAGACAAAGAAAAAGAGAGTAGTAAGCTTTAATATAATTCTCAAGAAATACACCAAAAGAATCTTTTGATTCAACGAGCCAAACAGATGGAGATCTCAAGCATCTTACTTAAATCTCAAATAATACAGTTACATATTATTACAAGACAAGAACACAAAGCAAGCAACGTCGATCATTTCGGGAAGCATACAAAAAAAAGTTGGCAGAGGCAATGGAATTGCTCCAAATAGGAGGATGAAAATGAGTTAATCGTCAAGGAAGTTGTGGAAAATTATGGAAGTGAACGACTTGAATATTAGTAGTAGGTTGGTGGGGGTGGAGGTGAAGCATAGGTGGCAGATTGCTCGTACTTTTTAGGCGGTGGAGGTGAGGCAAAGTTGGAAATTTGTTTAACATAGTTTGTTGGAAGTGGAGGTGAGTAGTATGATGGCGATTGTTTATAGGTCTTTGGTGGAGGTGGTGGTGATTCATAATAAGGTGGAGGTGGAGATTTATAGTTAATTGGTGATTGCTCGTAGTATTTTGGTGATGGTGGTGGCGGTGAAGAGTAGTATGAAGATGGTTGCTCATTGTATTTTGGTGGAGGTGGTGGAGATTTGTAAGAAGATGATGATTGCTCGTAGTATTTTGGTGGAGGTGGAGTTGACTGGTCATAGTATTTTGGAGGAGGTGGAGGTGACTTGTAGGATGAAGGTGTTTTTTCATAGTATTTAGGAGGAGGTGGAGGTGATTTGTAGTATGAAGGTGATTTTCCATAATAAGTTGGTGGTGGTGGAGACTTGTAATAAACTGGTGACTTATAATATTTTGTTGGTGGCGGTGAGTTGTAGTATTTAGGAGCAGGCGATTTATAATATTTTGTTGGGGATGGTGACTTGTAGTACTTTACTGGCGATGGTGACTTGTAGTAGTACTTTGAAGGAGTAGGTGACTTGTAGTACTTAACCGGCGATGGTGACTTGTAGTACTTTACTGACGATGGTGACTTGTAGTAGTGCTTTAAAGGAGCAGGCGACTTGTAGTACTTAACCGGCGATGGTGACTTGTAGTATTGCTTTGAAGGAGCAGGAGACTTGTACTTAACCGGCGATGATGACTTGTAGTACTTTACTGGCGATGGTGACTTGTAGTATTGCTTTGAAGGGGTTGGCGACTTGTAGTATTGCTTTGAAGGAGCAGGAGACTTGTAGTACTTAACCGGCGATGATGACTTGTAGTACTTTACTGGCGATGGTGACTTGTAGTATTGCTTTGAAGGGGTTGGAGACTTGTAGTACTTTACTAGCGATGGTGCCTTGTAATACTTAACTGGCGATGGTGATTTGTAATATTTTACCGGCGATAGCGACTTGTAGTATTGCTTTGAAGGAGAAGGTGACTTATAGTATTGCTTCGAAGGAGCAGACGACTTGTAATATTTCACCGGTGAAGGAGATTTGTAATATTTTACTGGTGATGGCGACTTGTAATAGTCGTGCTTTGAAAGTACAGGCAATTTGTAGTTTTCAGCAGATTTTTCTGGTTTCTTGTAGTAAGGAATGGTGGGTACAGCATACTTAGATGTAGAGGGAGAAGTATACCCATAAGAGTAGTCAGCAAAAACAGTGCTGGCTGCTAAGCAAATTACCAAAGCAAATGCAAGAAGAGGCCATTGCCCCAGCTTCATTAAGCTTCTCATTTTGATCTGCAAACCAACTGTAATTGGAGAAGAGAAGGAGAGAACCTAGAAAACTTGTATTGCATAGTTGAGAAGGGAGCTCTGGTTTTTATACAGCAAAGTGACATCTTTCTTGACATTTATAAAATGGCTTCATGGTTACCCACTAAGATGAGAGCAAAGTCCAAATAAGGACTTGGTCAGTACTAAGTGGGAGGCATTTTCTGGTGACAAATTAATTCAAATAGAACAGAAAAAGAATTAAATATCTGAAAAAACAAAGAAGCATACCAAAGTTAACATTGACATAACTCATAGTAATAGAAAGCCAATTGCCCCCCCCCCCCTCGGGGGTGGGGGTTGAATGCTTGGTGACAACCTTGATTACTCGAGTTGGATAGTTAGCGAGACTAGAGAACTCGAGTTGGATAGTTAGCGAGACTAGAGAATCATGTGCATGACATAGATGCATCGTGACAAGAGGGATTACTCAAATGGTCAGCATCCCCACCTATAACTTTAGCGAGACTAGAGAATCATGTGCATGATATAGATGCATCGTGACAAGAGGGGATGCTCAAAGGGTCAACATCCCCACCTATAACTCCAGGGTTGTGGGTTCGAGACACCAAATGAGCAATAACTCCAACAAAAGGGGAATCAAAGGGAATGGGAACAAAAAAAGGATTTTAAAATATATATATATATATATAGATGCATCATTGATATTCAGAACAATTTGGTACAATAATAAATTGTAATCGAGGAACTTTTAATCGAAAATTGTTAAGTGGAACTCCAGTAGAGAATGATACTACAATCGCAAAATCTTCATTAGATCTTCTATAACTATGCCTGCCCGTTGCAGTAGATATTGCTCTTTTCTGATAGCTAATATAGGAATATGTGATTTCTAACTAGAACTTGGATTTTACATAAAGAATCATGACGGACGAAGTAACTATTAAATAACACATTCTACAGCCTCTGCTGAAGTTCTGCTCCACCACACTAACGTGTCAACGGAATGAAAATCACTCCAACGGTATGCCTCCAGCCAGTTTGTTAGCAAGAAGAATATCTGAATTGTTAGCAGAGAAGAGATGATACAGCTGCTTATACAGGATCACGTCGTAGAGACTTTCTCTTGGTTTGCCATGTATGTCAGGTACACATTCCAAACGTACGAAAATGTGTTGCTAACAAGCGGCTGTCAATATAGTAATAACATCTCGTTAGTTGCGTTCTCAAATAGACATACATATATATTATTATTTATAGAGAAGGATAGAGACATAACCCTCTGCTGAAAATTAAGGTAGAAAAAAGAACATTTTCTTCAAATTGGGAGTTGAAGGATTGGAACCTAATGACAGGAAAAAAGACATCCGAAAGTTATGTATAGTGACATTAGGGGTCGATGAGACCTTGAGCATACCTGTAAATGAACGGGAACAAATTTGAATGTAATGAAATCACATATTGGCCAGTACATAAGACCATTGACAATAGTGGGAACCAAGTCGCGCTTGAGTCTGGCAACAATCTCTGAACTACTTTCACCTGGTGTATCATCCGATAATTAGAATTAGTGGAAAAACACATTCAAAGTCAATGCTCAATGTAATTTAGAAAAAAGAAAAGAAGGAAAAGTCAAAAGAGTTCAAATAGATGTTGACAATTATTGCTAGTTCGTTCATATCCATTCAGCAAATAAAGAGAACTGTCAACACATTCAAATTCCAAATCACCATGAATGATGGACAGTCATTTGCCTGTAAAAATTGACAGGGACAAATAAGAATAAAAAGGAAAATAGGGAAAGACTCATAAGAAGGCTTGCCAACAGATTGACTGAGATCTTATGCTGTATCAATTTTAACAAACAGATCTTCCTAATCTAATTTTAAATTTCTTTTTCTGGTTTTCGCAGTAGTTTCTTTTGGTCCATGACCTCTGAGATAATGTGATACAGAGTTTGGTACACTCTCTCAAACCCAGATGTTAGCAGTTGGTTTCTCTCATGTCACTAAACCTGCCCTCCTCTCCGACACTCTCACACAAGTTTGGTACAAGTTTTATCTTTCATTTGGTGGGTTCAAGAGTGTGATAAATTTCCCCATATCTAGAGCGCTCCATTGATACTTTATTTAGTTGATGACAGTAAGGTACACCCTTTTATTAAATATTTTAACCAAAGTAACTCAGAACATCTAAAAGAAGGACTCATTTGTACCTTGTGCTGCAGCATTCATGGAGAAGAAAACAGAGTTGATTGCAGGGCCATAGACAGTCTGTCCCAAAGCTATTTTCTTAAATGTTGTGATGACATCACGCTTCGGAAAACACCTTGACAGAAAATTGAACCAGAAATGAAGTGAAGGTCCAACAATTAGTGCTCCATAACCACCCATCCTCAATGTTCGCGCGAGATCATACTGCGTCATCAATGACCCAGCAATTGTCTGCAGAATAGAGAGCGCAAAGAACACGGGGAAAACGATTAGGAACGTGTAAGGATTTATTCCACGGCCACGGGTGAACCAGAATAGAGAGAGAAACTAAAAGGGGAGCAGATGATGCACAAGACAGGTGAGATGCAAATTACATATTTATATGTTGAGCAAAATGACAGAGAACTAACAGATTTTGATATTTTGCCGTGTTGTTAAACAAGATTTACCGGCTCTTTTTTGGACAAGTGAGATTTATAGGTACTAGTACTACACCATACATGATACAACAACTACACCTAGAAGGAAAACTAGCTAGTTTTGTGCTTAATGTACTTATTCCAGCTACTACTAGAAGATAGCTAATCAGCAAGGAGATGAAGCAGATTAGAAGCCCATGCTCCTTCAACACTAAGGAAAATAGAATCTCCAATTTTAGGTGGGTTTTCTTGTCCACCACCGACCAAGATGCATAAGAGCGGTTTTCCAGTGATGCTGGACAGAAAGACATAATGGCAAAAAGCTCAATTATGTACTCTGATTGTTCGTCTGTGTCAAACACTACACAAACCATTTTCTGTGTGAAATGACAAGGTTTTGGTTTGGTTACTCGGGGAATCCCAGGCGAAAGAATCTATAAACTTCTAGGTCAAGTAGTAGGAAAGAAAGGGACCTCTAACTCAATTCAATAACATGTTTTAAGGCATCTTTTTCTAATATTAACATTCACATTGGCCGAGCGAGTCGAAGGAGTCTTCATCACGAGTCAAGTTGGGGTTTCATTCTGGTAACAAGATGAGCACACTGCACGACCAGACAACTCACATCCTCATCTCGCAGTGTGACATCTGACATTTAAGTTGAGTCATTTCCTAAGTCGACTCCTCTATGATAACCCATGCTGCAGTTGCACCTCATGAACTTATTCAAGAAGTCCTATTCTTATAGATGCCTTTTATCACTTGGATCCACAGTGGAGACGGGTCACAAACAGGAAGAATAGTGTATGTCCTATAGTTCGAACTTCTAGATGAAGATGAATCAGAAGCCACAACTGACTTTGAATAGTGCATACGTTAGGTAGAGTGGATTTGCGTGAGACTACAACAGTTCGGAATGTAAAGAAACCGAAAAATACTAGGAAGCAATTGCAAGTTAGTTCTGAACTTTATAGGTGAAAGATTCAATAAAGGTATGGTCAGTATGGATAGACATAGACCGTAGCTGCTACAGCGCACTATTCTCTATGCATTAAATTTGAGAAGCAGAAGAGACATCTAAGAGCTGCTGGGATAAGTCCTTACTCATAGGTTTAAGATCACTTATCCTATACCTAATACTAAGAGTAACTCTACCGGGAACTTAGCATAACCTAGCTATTTTTTCTGGTTGAACGACGGTTTGCCCCATTTCAGCTATATGCTTAATTAAGGTGAAAAAAGTATCAGGAGGGAGGAAAGGAAAGAGGTCAAGATCATTTTTCTCGTTTGATTAAGAAGTTAAAAAGAAAGAATACACAAATTCTATGCAACAACTATATTATAACCTCTGCAATAGTAAACCCTTTATCACTAAACCACAACAATAGGACGAATTTGTGTGCTTTTGGCATGACAAAGAATGTATTCATACAACATACATGATTCTTAATCCTAATAATGAATTTTTCAACAATAATGAATTTTCCAACTAAGTTACTTCCAAAGAATCTAAAAACCTACATATATAGTAAACGAGAACAGAAGTATTATGCCAAAACCAGGACAAATAGTCAAAGTAAGAAATTTCCAGTGAAATAAAAAGAATCTTTGCTGAGAATAAAGTACCTGTGAAGATAAATCAGCGGCAGTGAGAATAAGGCCACAAGTAATACTCTTGGTGAGAATGGGCCGAGAGTTAAGCTTTTCTAAGTACCAACCCACGAACCCAACTTTGGAAACAGAGGCTGAAACCCCTGAAAAGAAAGCCAGAAAACTAGGATTTGACAACTCAACAAGTTCCTTATTTTTCCTGTAAAAAGATTGAGGTAATCTTGAATAGACTTTAGAATGTTGAAGTTGGTGATGAACAATATGGTTCTTGAAATTCAAAGGTTCAATGGAGGGGTTTTTACAGAGATGGTGGAGGGCTTTAGAACCATTTCTGAGGAAAAAAGCACACATCTTTGTATTTGCGGAGAAGAAATGGAGAAACCCCAGGTGTATTTTGTGGTTTGTATTTAAGAGGCTATTTTTTGTAGTAGGAAAGAGAAGTGAGCGGTCAGTGGTCAGATGTGTAGCAGAGGAAGGGAACTAGTTAGCAATTTTGCTACAAAGTGTAGAAGACAAAATAAGGTAAGGTCATCGTCGTTTACCAAGCGCTTCCCTAATTTTCATACACGTGTACATTCCTACTCGCACTTGAATAATTTTTTGCTTTTCTATGTTTGTGTAATAAATTAGGGGCCGTTTGGCCATACAAAATTTTCACTTTTTTTAATTTTTTTTTTTTGAAATCAACGTTTGACCATCAAAATTTTAATTTCAACTTGAAGATGAATTTCAAAAATTATTTTTATGTCCAAATACAATTTTAACTTTCAAATATCATTTTCACTTTGTTTGCAATAAATTTTCGTCATATGATAAATAAACTGCAATCACAAAAGTAAGAGAAAATATTTTTACTAATGATTCGCGCGTATTTCTCGAATGTAGGATGATGCAGACCTCCTGGGAGGTATTTGATCTCCAACTTCTTGAATTATTTGATTGCAAGAAGTATCCGGCCATATTTTGATCTCTTTGTGAATATCCCAAGAGTTTATGGTATTTTAAGACACCTCTAAAGGGAATATGTATCCCTTTATATAGGTGTGAGTTAGGGTATAGGGTAGAGTAACCTCCAAGAAATTCTAATAGACTACTAGAATTTCAAGAGTCCTATAGTATCTTTAATTTAAGATTGAGCTTGATCCCTTAAAATTTCGGATGTCTGCGCACTTGAAAAAAAAGTTCACCTTTTTCCGAGATTTTACAATTCTTATGTCCAAACTCCCACTAAGAGTTTTTCTTTCTTCATTTACACAATTAGAAATTACACCTAGGAGTACTACTTCATGAAAAAAAAATAAAAATTGAAGATCAAGAATAATTCGAGAGTCGAGACAAAGGAGTAATTTCAACTTGGACTTCAATTTCAAGATTTTTTATATATAACCTTTGCACTTGATGTTACAAATTTACGTTTTTGTTCTTATTATTTGTATTGACCAAACTTATAATATACACATTTCTTACATGGCATTAATCCACACATAACCTAATCAAACAAAGACAGTATAGTTGCAAAACAACACATCGATATGCACTGGATAAAACTAGAAAGTAGGAGTATACATCCTAAACACACATGTATATTTCTATAACTTTCTAGACCTTTTGTCCAAATTATTTGACTCTGTATTAAATTATGAAACTCTAAATATGAAAAAGTCTTTTGTCCATCTCTTTTGCAAGATAAAAATATACGTTTTTATTACTTTTACACCTTTTATCCAAATTATTTGTCTCCTTTTTATTCCTCTAATAAAAAGTGGAAAAAAAATCCATTGTCCAATCTCTTTTGCCGAATAAAAGAAGTTGGGTGGTATGAACTATATAATCACGTTCTTTATTTCTAATTTCTATAGTGATAGCTCTGTTTTAAAAGATAGAATTGGGACTCGCTCGGGGCTCACCTTCGGGCGGAGCATTCGTAAAATATCCTTGGGCTTATGTGTGGGGCTTAGTTCCGTGAGACTTACGTTTCGACCGCCGGGGCTTACGCCCCGGACACGCCCAACGCCCAACGTACTGAGCTCGCCTAATAGAACTTTATGCAATTGTGTGTAACTAATATTGTAAATCCTCAAATTTTCTAATAAATCGTTGACTATTCAAAATTACTTTTTTCTTAATCATAAATTATTAAATTATTTTATGTCCTAATTAAAATAAAAATTACTGCACGTTATACACTAAGACTAGTATGACAGTAAATTCTAAATAAATCTTTTATTTAAAAAGTATATATTTATTAACTTTTGTTATGCCTTTATTATATAATAGTCCATAATTTTTTTAATAATTATTTTTCTATTTTTTTTTACGTTTACGAGATACAATACTTATTAATTTAATAGCTCAGTATTAGCTAGTAACTATTTACAAATAATTAGTTATCATGGTATAGTATGGTGAATTATAAATTCTCTTTCAAATAGAAAGCATATTAAATAAAATGATATTTAAAAAAAAATTCAAAGTATAATATCAAAATTCTTTCAAGATTCATTACTCCTTAAGAGATAAATATCACATTTTGTATCGAATACATTACTTTTGATGAGTTGTAACTGTAAGCATATAAATTGTATTGAAATTAAATACGTAAAATGATTTGGACTATACTTTAAATTCAAGATATATTAGTTCAAATAAATTTATTGGGCTAATATAATTGGGTTAGTTATATAAGTCCAATATGTATGGATTAAATAAATAAGCATGCATCCATTGGGCTAGCCCATTTAATTGGGCTACTAATAATGAGCCCACTTCATTAAGCCCAAGATGCCATGTTCCTAGAGGCCCAGTTTGGTGCCACGTGTCAAATGACGTGGCACGCCAAGTCAAACGGAAGAGTCAATAGGATCATGACACGTGTCAAAATGATAAGGCATGCCAAGTCAAATTAAAAGGCGAATGAAGCCGCGCCACATGTGCAAGTGACATGTTCTGGCCAATCAAATGCGGCCTTGTCACACTTTAATTTGATTGGTTGGAAAGAGTTTGTTCTTATCATAACTCTTCACTCCCACAACTATAAATAGGGGTCTTCATAACTCAGAAAAGACACAGAAGTTATAACAAGAAGCAAGAAAGAGCTCGTGGATCAAACGCTGCAAATTCCTCCACAAGTTTCAAGCTTCAAGCAATCAAGTTCAAGCTCAAGAACGAAGAAAAAAATCAAGTTTAAGCTCAAGAACGAAGAACAAATCAAGTTCAAGCTCAAGAACGAAGAACAAATCAAGTTCAAGCTCAAGAACGAAGAACAAATCAAGTTTAAGCCCAAGAACGAAGAACAAATCATGGTTCAAGAAATACAAGTTCAAATCAAAGTTCGTGCTAGTTGAATTCAAGATCATCGTTCGTGGCAACAAATATAGATTCAAGATCAAGCTCAAAGGCCCTTGAATTTATTTACTATTGGAAAGTAGAATCAGTTCATAGAGATTGTAACACTCAAATATTTGAAATAAAATACAACGATTGTTGCAATATTTTTCGGTCTCGATTATTTTCTCGACGCAAATTTATTGTCTACAAATTCTGGCATGCCCAGTGGGACAATCTCTACCTCTCATCTCAACTTTTTAATCACCAAAGTTCAAGAACATCGAAATGGCTTCACAGAAAATCAGCTCCAGATCAACTTCCATTAAGGCTGCTAATTCCAAGTTCTATGTTGATGTGGAAAGCATACTCGATGTTACCTTTGAAAGCTTTGAGCCAGTTACAAGGAGCAAAGCAAGCTCTTTAGGACAACAAGCACTCCAAGTGTCGTCCGTATCAACCCCTATTTTGGGATCTTCATCCTCAAAAGGAGTGAGGTCTTCTATAAGCACGACCCAAAAAGGGAACGAAGTCGCCGAAAGGATTGAAAAGGTTCTTGCCCAACTTAGTTTATCTAAGACCCTTCATGCAAGCCGATGATGATGACTTCAATGCTGGATCTACTCTTGCCTCCAATAATGCGACCTCTGAGCTCTATTTCAATAATGATCTATATCATTCTTCATCCTCTACGTCGATCATGCAAGCATTGGTTATTGAAGCTTCTACCATAGAATAACAACTTGCGAATTTGACGAAAGCAGTCGAAGGTTTGTCAAAGCACATGCATGATCAAGATGCTAAACTTTCCAAGTTAACAAATAAATTGGATAGAACAGTAGAAGGATAATCTACACAAATACCTTTAAATTTTCAAAGGTCACAAGAAAAAGGAGACTCTTTCGAAAAGCAAGTAACGACATCCAATGAGTCTCCGTCGAAAGTCTGATTCCCGTTGAGAAATTGAAGGACTTCATCATGGAGGCTATGAAAGATAAACCTCCATCTTCAAGTTGAATTATATAAGCCCTCCAAATCTTCAAGTATGCCGTTCTTCAAGTTAAATTTTGCAAAGTCCACCATCCTTCAAGTTGAAGTCTGCAAGTTCGCCAGTCTTCAAGTCGAAGCATTCAGGCCCTCTAAGTCTTCAAGTCTGTTGGTGGTCAATTTGAAGTCCTCAAGTTCGCCGGTCTTCAAGTTGAATTATATAAGCCCTCCAAATCTTCAAGTATGTCGTCTTCAAGTTGAATTCTGAAAATCCGCCGCCCTTCAAGTTGAAGTCTAAAAGTCCGCCAATCTTTAGGTTGCAGTATTCAATCCCTCCAAGTCTTCATGTCCGTCAGTCTTCAGTTTGAAGTCCTCAAATTCGCCAATCTTCAGGTTGAATTATTTAAGCCCTACAAGTCTTAAAGCTGAAATCTTCAAGTCTACTAATTTTTCAAGTTGAAGTAAAAGTCCATGGCTCTTCAAGTTCGAGCATCAAAGTCCACCAAATTTTCAAGCCCGTCAAATCTTCAAATTTATTGGTCTTCAAGTTGAAATCTTCAACGTCCGCCAAGCTTTCAAGTTGAAGTTTTCTAATTTTCCAATCTTAAGGTGGACATGTTAGTCTCTTTTGCACCTTAAGTTGCCCTCTTTATGGATTTGATCCTGCTATATGTTGTCATGGATTTGATGCTTCTATATGTTGTCATGGATTTGATACTTCTATATATTGATATGGATTTATCCGTCTATATGGTGATGGAGATTTCTCCGTCTATATGGTGATGGAGATTTGTCCGTCTATATGGTGATGGAGATTTTTCCGTCTATATGGGGATGTGGATTTGTCCGTCTATATATTGGTGTGGATTTGTCCGAATATATGTTGGTATGGATTTATCTGTCTATATGGCAATGTGGATTTGTCCGTCTATATGTTGCAAGGGATCTATCTTCTTATATGCTGTTGTGGACTTGATCATCTATATGCCGTCATGGATTTGTCCTTCCATATGATGTTGAAGATTTGTCCTTCTATTTGTTGACACAAATTTTTCTTTCTATGTACGTCTAACCTTGCTGACGAAGATATCCCCATTGCCTACAACAACAAAAAGAAGGCAGCAAAAAAAAATACAAGTACAATTGTGATGTCATCACTTGATTTACAAGTTAATTCTGTGTTCCGAGGCCT